AAAAAAAAAAAAAAAAAGGGAAAAGAAAAAAAGAAAGAAAGAGAAAAAAGAAACAACCACCGCCCCGGGGGTGAAGCTCCCTCGCTCCCAACTCTACTTCTTGGTCTCCCCCCCACCCCCCGCTCCCCCCCCCCTGCTGCTTCCTCCTCCTCCTCCTCCTCTCGCAGCAGCAGTCACAGCAGCAGCAGCAGCAGCCCAAAGGGGGGGAGAGCCGGGCGGCGGGCGGGCGCGTCCCGGAGCGGCCGCGGCGAGGCTGGGGAGACAGCGATCGAGGCGGCTATAGCCACAATTAATTTTCCGAGCTACAGGCGCACACTAGGGCTGTAAAAAAATTTTTGGTTTAACCTTTCCTACCGTTGGGCCAATCAGAGCCGGCGGCGTGCGGGAGCGTCTCTCCCGCCGTCGACCAATCGGCGGGCGCGGGCCCCCCCCCCCCCGCCCCGCCCGCCGGCTCCCGCCCCCTCGGGCGCTCGCCTCCCCCTCTCGCGGGCCTTGGCCTCGCGGCCGCGCGGAGCCGCGTAGGGATACGCCGGGAGCACGCTGCGCCGCGGCCCTGCGCCGCGCGCCGCCACCGCGGGGCTGCGCCACCGCGACCCCCTTCTTAGGGCAGATCTCTCCCACTTCCGGCTCCCCTCTCACCGTGTTGGGTTATTTTCGTTAGAGCGTCAATATTTGTCCTTTTTGATTAAAGTTTGTATCCAATTTTGTCTTCCCAAGAGGGGGCGGCGGCGGCGGCGGTGGAGAGCAGAGTGGGATGCAGGGAGAGGATGCGAGGAGAGGGCAGGAAATGGAGGAGGAAGAGGCGAGGCACTACTTTCCCGAGCCGGCCCTGCAGGCCCGGGCCGGCGTCGCCGAGCCTGTAGGAAAACTGTGCCCCGTGTAGGTAACACTGCAGCGAGGCTCCGGATGGTCGGGGAGGCAGGCCCACCCCTGGCGTGGGGAGGGGGGGCGCCCGGCACCTGGGGGGAGGAGGGTCTGCGAGAGGTTTGGAAACCGAGGGATGAGGAGCAGGAAGTGGGCTGGCGAGCGCGGGGCCAGGCGGGGGTCACTTACTCGGTTCCTGCGGCCCGGGCGGCGGCGAGCTCGGAGCGCCGGCGCCACCGGGAAGCCGGGCCTGGGGCTCCCTGCGCGGCGGCGGCGGCGGCGGGCGGGGGCGGCTCAGTGGTGGGCGCCTGTGCTGGTCTTCTGCAGCGAGGGGTGCTCAGAGAGAAAAGCGTACCAAACAATCTCGAAATAAACCAGGTAACACATGCTGTGTGTGTGTGTCTCTTCCTTCCCTTCTCTCCCGCTCCAGACCGTCGCTCACGCGCACGGTGACTCGGTGTCGCTTTCTCCTCGCCGCTCCAGCGTCTCCTCGGCTTCTACTCCAAATTGGGGGCGAGTAGCCGCGAGCGATCACCCTGGAAATGTTTTCGTTTTGCTTGGTGACACTGGAGGGAAAATGAGGGTGGGCGTCTATTTCTTTCCGTTTTTTTTTAAGCCTTCCTATTTTCACTCCTTTTTTCTTTTTGTTTCTCAAATGCTGTTCATTTGTGCGGGCCTTAATCCTGAAATAACCGCAGGCTGGAGCCAGCTCTTTCCCCACCCTGAATGCTGCTGGAAGGAACCTGGGAACCTTGGGAACGTGGGTCCCACAATCCCAGCTTCTTGGGCTTTAGGACTGGGAAGGTTCGGTTGAGGGCTGAAGTGAGTGGGGAGATTGTGATTCGGGGGCTTTAAAAGGATCCCGTGGCCGGGGGCAGGGCTAAGGCCCAGCATTTCCCAGGGATTGGAATTTGGTGCGGAGCACACTGATCAAAGGCTGTTTCATCCCACATGGGCACGAAACATACCACATTTTACGGAGGATGTAGCCCGAGAGAAGAGGGAGGTGGAGAAGCATAAATGAAAAGCACCTCTCCCTCTATAAGGTAAATCATCACAAAATGTAAACATTTCTTCACTTTGATAAGCTCTCACTTGAGTGATCTGGCAGATTTGGTATTTAAGAAAACGAAGGCACAAAAAGCAGTGCCTATGTGTGATGTTCAAGTTCAATTCTAATATAAAGAGTGCAATTGATGAATACTCGGGTCAATACGGAGTTATTTCACTCTCCCCACCCCACCCTTCACCTTGAAATTCTGAGAGGGAGAGCGAGAGGGAGAATAAACTCTGAAGAGAATAATAGACAATTACAAATAGGTAGTGATTTTTAAGTATGAAGCTATTAGGAAAGCCATAAAGGAGCTTTGAACATTGGACTAACCTCAATTATCCTTTCACTGTATGTGTGTATTTACCTCCTATTTCTACATATTTCCTTACTTTAAAACAAGCTATATTTACATGTGGGAAAATAAAGGGTTCCATCTATCAACGTTGATAGTGACATGGCCCCAAACATTGACTTCTAAACTCCGGGTTTTTTACAGAGCCGGGTAAGCTAATGGGCTTTTCCTACCGGCTGGAGAGATCTGTGGGCCTTCCTCTTCCTGCTCGCTTTTCCTCCTCCCACTCTTCTCCCTCCCTAAGGCCTGTTATTCCTACTTTTCCTCAGCTCGCTTTCCTCCCTCCTCCCCTCTTCCTGCCTCCTCCCCCCTCACTCCCTCCACCCCTTCTCCTCCCTCTATTCCTCTCCCTCACTCCGTTCCTCCACCTACTCCTCCCCATTTCTCCCCCCACAGCCCCCCTTCTCATCACCACTTATAATGGCACACAAGGGCTCCCTCTGAGGTGGACGGCCCGGTACGTTTTCGTAGTCGGTCTAGCGTGAAATGATTCGGTGTAACCGGATTCTTGGGAAAGGACAGGTTACGTAAACATTTACTGATGTGGAGTAACTATACTATTTGTACTCTGATATGCAGGAAGGAAAGTGTTGATTAACACAGAAGAAAAAAAAGCGAAATTAGCTGATTGCATGCTCATAAGTGCAAGCTGTCATTGAACTGCTTTTAAAATAGACACAGCTGGGTGTTTGTGTTGAAAAATTTCTTGTGTTTTTGCTAATACTGAAATAAGCATGATTTTGTATACCAAACATTTTCAGATCATTAAAATTTGTAATCTGTGCTGGTTTTAAACACAAAGAAAAGAAACAGAATCATTTCGATGTAAAATTTGCTGATATTATATTAACTCAATCAGGTCTGTACAAATTGTGCATTGTGCCTCCTAAAATCTGTTTGATCAATTTAATACACAAAGTGCCAAACGTGGGTATTGTTTGTTAACATTGGACATTTTATTCAAATCCGAGCTCAGCAGCAAACTGGAGTAGCGTTCCTTGAATACAACACTAGCATTGACTGATGAATTTTTAATGTTTTAAGGTGTTTCTTAGGTCAAAGCTGAGTGTGCATTGTTTTGTAATGCTGCATAAAATTTTAGCAGGTGAAAATAAGTTTTTCTTCTGTTTACTTTCAAATAGCAAGAACTGGGGTTTGCTAATGAGAGCTATGATAATCTGATTTTATATGCCAGGAGCTTATATTGACTGGGAAAATATTTCGCATGCAAATTAAGAATGTGTGATATTATTTTAAGGATTGTATGGATGCAAGTCTCTCAAAATAGGATATTTATGCAGGAATAAATAGATTATAGTTTAATATAATCATATTAAAGATCTTTTTCCCCTAATGACAAAAGTCATTTGCAATTTTGGGGAAAGTGAGTTTGAATTCCTATTAATCATTTTAATTGGACTTTATGATGAGATAGAGTGCCATACATATATAGGTGTGGGGGCAGGCTGTTCAACAAAACATGCACTGTTTACTCAGCAGCCCACATTTGTCTCAGCAATGGCTTCTTTTTAGAACTGCTACTAGATGAAATGGAGGGGGAGGGGGTTTTTGGACAGAGTATTGTGCAAGTTGAAAGTCCCTGGATGGAGCTTTGTATATCCTACCGGCCAATTTGGGCGCAAATTGGATTTGAAGGACTGCCCACGTCCACCTCAGGGCCTCTTTCCTAAACACGTGGAGCCCTAACCCTATATTTTCACCTCACTCAGCCTCTGTGATTACCTTCAGAAGACAGAGGGCATCCAGCGGCCTCAGAGCTGAAACAAATTCTATATCATTCATATATTTTTTCATCATCAGCTTAATCTTGATACCTCACACACATACATCTATAAATGTACGCTGTTAACGAATCAAAGCATAAGTCAGGGCAAATGTAATTTTCTGGTATATATAGTGGTAAACTTATCTCCTCCTCTGTCTGCTGTACCCTCCGCCCCACAAAAGAGAGGACAGGCTTTGCAAAGAATGAGCAGTTCCAACTGACGAATTGCTTGGGAAATGAATTAGATTAGTCCATCTCTAGTTTAAATTAATAACCAATGTTCCACAG